AGAACCGTCATTTCTTTTTCTAAATTTATATGCACATTTTTTATTATATGTTAGGATTCCTAATTTGTCATTTAAAAGTGCTACCTGACAGAGAACCTTTCTGCTTCCAGCTGTAATGATGCCACCTAAATCTAAATGGGGAGGCCAATATGGTGTAGACTAGCCCCAGAGTATATGCAGAGTACGAACCAGAAGTTGACAAAGATGACTTTTTCCCCCAATGGGGTAAAATACATTGTAATGACGTTTGGCTTCAGGGTTTATTAAATTTTTAGACATTTATATGGAGCTAGGCACTTATATGGAAAAGAGTTTTATAAAACAAATATATGAGAAAGCAGCTTTTATTAAAGTGTATTGTGCAGGGGCAGGAATAGAAAGTGAAGTAAAGTTAAAAATAATCTGAGTTACTCAAAGAAAACTGTCGCTGCTAGAACTGGAACCAGGAACCCACAACACTCTGTGCATGTGCAACTCCCACAACTGCAGACTGTGGTACCGTCCTGGAGTCTGGACAGTGACATATTCTCAGACTTTGGGCTGAGTCGTTGCCGGATATATTTCTGGCTTTGGCATGTTCTTCGGTTCTCTGGCTCAATTCCTTGACTCCAATTCCTTGGCACAACAACTGGTTCCCCGCTCCCCTCTGACTGCTGTTTACAGCTCAGCTTTAACAGCCCTACAGCAACAGTGTGGAGGCAGTTTAAATAAGAGCAGCCATTGTAAAGCAGGGATATATGCCTAATTAATTGGCTGGCGCTTCCATTTGCGAGCAGTGCCAGGGTACAAATTGCAGTAATTTATCAATGCTTCCAACTCTGAAAGGTACCCATCAGGTAAACTCACTGAAATACAGCTCTCCCTACAATTTAACATAGCTTATTAAATTCAGGTTTTTATTTCAACATGTCCCTGCAACTAGATCTTGACACAGAAATCATAGGAGGCTGAATAATAACAAAGATCAGATCTTAAGTGATACAGCAGAAAACAAAAAAGGGATGTAAGAATTGCTTTGTGCAGGTAATAATGAGCCAGTTGTCAAGTTTTTGCAGGATGTCATCCTTCAACAGTACCTAAATTGTACAATTCCATTTTGACGTGTCTGCACATCAGTTCAGAATAATCTATACCTTTTTTATTAATCATATACTTAACTATCCTTCTCCCGTCAAATCTTGTTAAAGCAATCTGGGAAAGGGGGCCTTCAATACAAGGTTGCTGAGCAACAGCAAATGCAAGCTTGCTTCCATGCTGTCCCTTCATCAGACAATCTTGTCCCCCACCCCCCACCCCTTGAAGAGATCCCTCTCTTAACTGTCAAGGAGTCTAGAATGCCTCAGGCAAGCCATTGTAATTTTGTGTATTATTCACCGCTATCAGCAGTAACAAAAGTAATATTCCCAGAATGTGACATCATATGATAGCTGGCGAATCTATTTGGCTATATACCATCTATGCCCCTTCAGAAAACAGTTATTTTGACATGAGAGTCAGTTTTCTTTTATATAGTGCACACTTGAGTGGTGAGGAGACAATTCTGGAACAGCTATTTATATTGCAGCAAAGCTTATTTTATATACACTTTGTCACTATTGGATTTCTTTGCAATTGACGTTTAATGTTTCCTTCCATTTCTATTTTTCATTTCACTTACTGTATTACATCAATAATTTTTATAAAATTGTAAGATCACTCGTAAAATTCTCCTAAATCCTATAGTAGTTTGCCTTCCTCTCACTTAGGCAAATGGGGCATCTGTCATGCACTCTGCCGCAAATGTTAATATGGCCAGGCCAGAAGTTCAAGGGACTTTCCAGAGGACTAGATTCTATTTCTTATGCATATCTTCTCTTGTAATTCTACTTCTGCTGCAGGGTACTGCAATTTCCCAGCACAGGGAACCTTCTTACATTACATTATTCTAGGAAACCTAGCTGTTCCTTAGGGTTTGAAGTCTGATTTCTATCATCCAAATGCCCTATCTCATAATCTGCTTTTTAAAAAGCTCTCACAAAAACAATAGTTAACACACTGTTACTGTATTTACTATTACTTTTGTGGGGAAGGATTTTTATGGAACTGTCAGTGTGGATTTGTAGGGCTATACACCTTGAAGGAGCGTAGAGGTCTAAATGCACAAGCATAGTTTACATTGATAAGGGAAAAAACTGCCTTTTTTGTTTTTTTCATTATGTATTAACTTACAGCTCTTTAGGCTAATAACATTTTATTTTTCTTTCTTTTTTTCAGTTTCATCCTTTATTATTTTATTCACATGATATACATTCTTTACAACAAACAACTCCAAAATAAACAGACAACTCCAAAATAAAATTATATGTAACAAAACCATAAGTCTCATGTTTTCATTTACACTGATTTCCTCTCCGATACCTTTACTTGATATTTCTTGCTGCTTTCAGCTTTCCTTATAGAATCTTTATGAAAATTTAAATCTCTTAAATCCTATACCAATCTTTTAACAGTTTCAATTAATCCCTTCACCTCCCTCCCCCACAGCCCAGTACTTCCCTCCATCTGTGTGTGATCTTCTTTACTTACTATTATTTTTGTTATTGTTACATTATTCACTTTGTTATTCCAACCTTAACATATTATCCTATCTCCTTGTGCCTTTTATACTTTTGCATATTAATTTTTAAGCTCCAGCACTGACTTTTTACATGTATTCCTTAACGCATTCCCACTCTTTATTAATTTTTTGATTAGAGTGGTCTCTAATTGATGCTGTTAATTTTGCCATCTCCGCGAATTCAAGAAATTTGATTCTCCATTCTAATAATTCTGGTATTTTATCAGTTTTCCAATTTTTTGCCACTACAATTCTGGCTGCCGCGGCTGCGTAAAAGAATACATTCCTTTTATCCTTAGGAATGTCACTCAATACTAAACCCAGCAAAAATGCCTCTGGTTTTTTAAAGATTGAACTCCTAAATATCTTTTTAAGCTCTTCATGTATCATAATCCAGAACTGTTTCACCACTTTGCACCCCCACCACATATGATACATCCAACAGAGATTCGATTTTTTATACATTTTTGATAGTAATCGAATAGCACGCTGTAAAATTTATATCAGTTTTCCATAATCTTTCCCCTCTGTATAAATGAATTGTCTGGCCCAGCTCTTGTGACCATTTTATCATTGGTTCTTTTATTACCTCATCTTTCAGTTCCCATTCAAGGAGCAAGCTGTACAATTTCAATATTATTTTCCTCTTTGGTTGCAGAAGTTCACTTTGTAATTTTGATGTTTTCTGCATTTCTACGGAGTCCAGTGTACCATTTATTTTTCATAGTAAAGGGCACATTCATAGTACATATAGTACATTCCTCAAATTACGATATACCAGGAAAAAACCTGGTACAACTAAAGCTTTTAGCTTTTGTCCATGAATAGGCTGAACTGACTGGGAAGAGCACTTATTCATCAGAATCTATAGCACCATCTAGTGCTATTTATGAGTTGTGTGCATGATAGAAAAAGCACACTATTTGAGACTGCATCAGAACTGTTGCCAAGAGCTCACTTTTTTGTCTACTTATAGCTTAAAAATGTACCACTTATCTTAAATTACCTTCTTTAGCTTTTAGTGACTTCGTTTTCACCTAGGACAGCAACTAAAGTTAATCTCAGCATCCTTAGTTTAAAAACTAGTTTATTTCTGTTTTCCACCTACCAAGGAACCCAGTGATTGAGACGAACCCAGGTAACAGCTGGATTTAGATTTATTTATTTTTTAATCGGGGAATCAATCATTGTGTTTCTTTATCCCAACAGAAGACTGTGACTAAATGGACATCATACCTTTAAAATCAGAGGGAACCTCAGCCTGCGGGCCAAACTTGGCTTACTGGGCCTACGAGGCTGCTTTTCAGAAACTACTCACGCCTGCCATCGTATGTGACATAAGGTGTGGTGGGGACTGAGATGCCGCTGCAGAAATCAGCCTCCCCTCCCAGCCTTTGTGCCTTTGTAGAAGTGAGTACCTTGCTCACCTGTTTATGATATTTGTGGTTGGCCTAATAATAGTATTGCCCAAGTATGCATTTCTGAATTTCTTATGGGCTACCACAGCTGCCTTTGCTTATAGGTTAAAAAGCAGAATTAAGTAATGCAAGAAAATACAAAATCAGCTCTTGTAAGACAATGCACATAGGAATTTCTAACACAGCTGAAATGTTGATGGAAGTAAAAGAAAAGCAGAGCTGACCCAGTATTATGAGTTTTCCATGCACTGGGCAACTGAACAAGACGTGTCTCTTCTGAACTGAAAACCATTTTTAAAATATGCCTTATTTGCTCCATCTAATCGAAAGGTCGGCGGTTCGAATCCCCACGGCGGTGTGCGCTCCCGTTGCTCGGTCCCAGCGCCTGCCAACCTAGCAGTTCGAAAGCACCCCCAGGTGCAAGTAGATAAATAGGGACCGCTTACTGGCGGGAAGGTAAACGGCCTTTCCGTGTGCGGCTCTGGCTTGTCAGAGTAGCGATGTCACGCTGGCCACGTGACCCGGAAGTGTCTCCGGACAGCGCTGGCCCCTGGCCTCTAGAGTGAGATGGGCGCACAACCCCAGAGTCTGTCAAGACTGGCCCGTACGGGCAGGGGTACCTTTACCTTTTACCTTCTCTGAAATACCTACATTGTAACACAATGTAAGTGAGTTCTGAAAAATGTTGCTTCTGCAGGAAACCAATTACAGAGGCTATATCAGTGTAGATATCCAACCAACAGAAGTCTTGGAAGGAACTATCTGCTTTTTCTCAAGTTTCATCAATGGCATAAGCTTAGGCTTATCAATGAACCTCTTCCCTGTCCCGCTGGAAGTTCCTATTGATTTCAGTAGTCAACATACATACACAGAATACATGCCTTCTGATAATGCAGTAAATCACTGATGCACTAATGACTGCCTGTTATTTCAGGTAAATAAATATTTAAGACTTTCTTGGAATGAAGGGAAAAAAGATCCACCAATAACTCCCATATGAATCATTTATTGAATAAATACATGCAATTGCAAAATTACATGAGCGAAAAAGGCAATCTGTACTAAACTGATCACCCTATCTCCTCCCTTCAGCAGTTGCTGCAAGCCTGATATAGAGAAGGTTCAAATAATTTAATCCAAAACCCACGTAATATAGTGACTTGGTGCTTGGATTATAATAGCTCTAAATGCAAAGTGCTGCTTTCCTCTCCAGCAACATAGAGCACTGAACAGTTTCAATAGCACGCAACAAAAACTGGTAGATACAGAGAACAAAGCTTGGGTTGAAACACAGTATTTAAGCTTTCCTTTAAGGCACAGAATTAAAAAAATAAAGAACGCGGAAAGCTAGTCTGATGACATTCAGTCTTTGATTTGAAAATGGAAACGTCATTCTTCCTCATCTTACCACCACCAAGTTGTGGACAGAATAGATTCATGGATGCAGCTTCTGATTTCCAAAGGTAGAAAAGAGCATTTCTTTGTAATTAGCCAGGATTTTGGTCCAGATTTTTGAGAGCGAGCTCCTCTCCACCTGAGGGCCACCTTGATGACTTCTCACATTGTTACAAATCCCTTTTTGCACACATTTGGCATAACTCTCACTATTTGTTATTTCCTCATGCAGGATACCTTGGGATGTAGGGAAAGAACACTGATATATACCAGGGGATGAAGAGAGAAGGCGACGGCTTTTACTTTAATAATAGATTGGAAGTATTTCACACTGTTCCCTAGTGGCCTGCATTACCTCTATGCATTCCCACCAATATCCTACTCTTAATGCCAAGGTATTGCAGATACATGAAATAGAGGTTACCATACCTGGTACTCAGATACTCAAAAGAATTATGTAGGACCCTCCTGCCGAATTTTGACCACAACGAGAAACCTGTTTGTTCTACAATGTTACATGCCCACATGTTGGCATTATGGCATCCTCTCCCAAGAATCTCATCATTTAGGAATTTCAGCATAACTAATGCCACTGTACAATGCTCTTACTTACTAATACCAATTTTAGCCAGGAGAGAATACTAGGGTATATGGGTTAGTAGTTTTCTTCAATAGGACTTAACTTTGAGTCACATTTCCCTTGTCTTCATATTTCTCATAAGGGCTCGTGGTAACTACAGCTTATGGCTTTTCTTCTTCCTATTATATGTTCTCCCTTGTTTGAGCTGTCTAACGGTGGTCATATAGTGAAGATGCTTAAAAGGAAGTAGGGGACCACCTTAATCTAAGCTATGTTTATGGTGAGCCTCTCTCTCAGAGCTCATGTACATGTGCCAAATTATCTGAATGATGCTGCACAGGTCTGCCTAGAAAAAGATGACACAATACAACTTGATGTTACATATGGGATGCCAATGGGTATGTACAAATGTGTCACGCTGACAAATGAAAATGAATTTGTTTTTTAAACTTGGTATGAACAGTCTGCTACATCTATATGACAGGCACTTCGGTAGTCTTAGTATACTTGAAGGGCACATGGGAATCTCTTCTGTGCAAGCTCAACTGAATGGTTCTTGTGCAGGAGGCGTTACTGTTGAATTATTCCAATTGTCTAAAGCGAGAATTAAGGTTATGAAAGTTTAATTATAAAGCTAGTATTCCAGGAGTTTATTTACCCATAAACATTATCTTGTAGTCAGAAGCCACCCCAAGAGAATCAACTAATGATAAATTGTTATTTTGTTTTTAAAAAGCAATTGCATATTTACCCAAGATTGTGAGGCTACTGTCTGCAGAGGAAGTGTACTGTTTCTTGGGTTAAACCACAAAAATATACATTTTTGTTAAAAACCATCTGAGAAAGCTTTCCAAAAAAAGGAAGCAATAGATATAATCAATGCCCCATTGATTTTGTTCCGAAAGTAACAATGAATAAAATGAAGCGAAACGTTCACGCTCAAAACATTTATCAAGTCCATTTGTTGCAAACCACTCCTGCATTTCCTGGGCCTGTAAAAATCAAATGAAAAAGCTGCACTGATTAGAACATACATTTGATTTTAAATGGCTCATTTTTACTGCATTAACATCATTCTGATCCACACATTCCAGATTCATGGCTGATTTTGCAGAATTTGTGGAGCACATGGTCTGCTCAATCTCTAGTGACAGATTCCTTAACTGGTGGTGTATGAACTAGTCCTTGCAGAAGAATGCAGTGGTGTTTTGAATGGAATGTGAGTGTTTCACATAGATCAGACCCAAAAGAGAAGGAACTGCTCCAAGCATTGAAGCAACTGGAAAAAGCTAACCAGAAATCTAGATATTGAGTTTTCTATAATATGAGTTCCATTTTAAGAGACCTGCAGGCATTTTATGATACCACTGATAAACGTCCCAGAGACCCAGTTAAAGAAGCTTCATATGTAAAACAGTCAATGTGATTCCACCATAGATTCTGAATCATTAGGGTGGTTATCAATTCTTAATCTGTAGTACATCTTAACCATACTGTTGCATAGGCAATTTTCTGGTATTTCAGGTGGGGCAAATAAATTCTAAACAGGAAGCAATGACTGCAAAAGTGCATTACAAAACACTGTACTATTCAAGTCTTCACTTTTGCATCTTAAGAGACTAGATGAATATACTATTATTTCAACACCATGATCATCTTATTTTCATACAGTATTTTTCTTTGTACAGTAATTATATATACTTTTCTTTATAACATCTGGATGAATTTTAGAATTATATGAATTATCTGCAATTCCAAGAATATCTTTCTATATAAATATTAAAAGTTAATATTTTGTACTCTCCCATTTTGCAAGGCTTTAAGGCCAGAAATATATGGGCTAACTGTTCAATTAATTCCTTCTGTACTTTTTTTTTTCTTTTTAAAGAAATCAGTCATTTTAGGATTAAGACAATTTTGCTGCAAAAACCGTTCCCTAAACATTTTGCCTTAAACTTTTAGCGTGCATTTAAAAGAAAAAGATCTCATTTGTGTTTACATTTTCCTTTTGTCTTCAAACCATTGGGGGAAACTCTCTTTTAAAAAAATAGCATCTATTTACATGGCAGACACCTTGGTGAGATATGAAACAAGATAGGAAAACCAGATAAAATCTCACTTTTCTCAAGGTTACAAATGCCATAAAAGGTTCCATTGAAACATGGTTACTCTACAAACCCTATTGCACATTAAAGTAGCTGTAACAAATGAAGGAAAAAAGGCTAACAAACGGACTTAAGCCTACATATAATGTCCAAGTATTATAAAACTGTTGGGAAGTGTTGGTTGAGCCTAATAACTAAGAGTTATAAAAAATATTAATACATCTGTGTGAACAATGTTGATAAAATATATAAAGGATGGCAAAAGTATATGAACAGGAGCTTCTGGCATCCCAAACTGCCTAAGGTGCAATATGCGGCCTTGTACCATCTTCTGTCAGGTCATACCTAGAAGGTGAAGAAAAAGAAAAGCAGTCTTATTGGAGGCACCAAGAATAAGTAAGATGGAAAGAGTGCCAGTGTGATTGTACTTACCACTGGGTGCAACTCTTGGAAAGTTCTTCAGAAGCCAGTGGTATCAATACCTGTGCAAGAAAAGAAGCAGCTAATTAAGTTCAGAGAAATCTGGGCCTGCTAATATCTTGCGGGAGTGATTTAACACTTAGTTTTTTTAATTGTAAGTGCCCTACAGCTGCTTAAGTAGAACTTTTGCTGATGCCATCTCTCAAACTTTAAAGGCTCGAGTCACATTGTGACAGCATTCAGCAACACATTTTGCGGCACAGGAATGATATAGAATTCCCATGTGCTGAATCTGGATCGGTACTTGCATTTGTTGCGCCACAAGCCTCAATCACCTTGCCTAAAAAGGGAGTTTTAAGGTTGGAAGTTGCAATCAGTGAGTGTCCAGGGTGAGCTTTTTCAAGAGTGATCAACTCGCCACCTTTCAGGACAGCTGGGACCACGAAGATGCATTGACCACACCCTGAAACCACTTGGGGATACCCCTCTGGTGAAGGAATGACCGCCGCGTGTGGAGCACACTTCCTCCCACAGACAGGCCTCAGCTGTCTGAACGCGTGACCTTCGGGTGCGGAGCACACTCCCACCTGCAGACAAAGCCACAGCTGTCTGAACATCATGCCCTCTATCTAACCTTTGCTCTCTTAGTGGTCTGCCGTGCCCCATCTGTGACCTTTGTCTCCTTCGTCATACATTGTTCAAGGGGGAAATGATGCGGTGGAAACAGGTGCCAAAATAACTTTGTACCACCCCTCGATCTCGGGATTGGAAGATGTGTAAAGGTCAGAGTCCAAAATGTATCTGCCTAGGTTTGCATACTGTGCTAATAAAAAGAGCCTTCCGCAGAGCTAGCTGGCAGCTTGCCTGTGCACAGCTCACCTGCATTACCAACTCCTGCCTCATGCCTTCACTTCACTCTGGCAAGCTTTAATAAACCAAAGGTCAAGGAGATACATTCTGGCTGCATCATCACAAGGACTGGGTATTTATTGGAGGCCTTGCAAGGGTACTGGCAAGCTCACCAGCCTGGGGCCTATAGCTCAGGTCCTGAGGCTACAGCAAGTGGCAACTCTGCTCAGACAAAAGGCAGGTAGATAACTCTCCTCTCACACAAAGTCACATTGTCTATTTCTAGCAGTGCAGTTTCTGGGGTGAGAGTCAAGAGCCAAGGCCGAGGTGCAAGGCTGCCCTCCTACCATTTCTGTAATGGCTGGTGACTTTATGGAAGGCCCAGCTGCTTCAGATTTCCTCAGGTGGTCCAGATCTGCTGCGTTGCACAACACTGCGGGGAGTAGGCTAACTACCGTATTTTTCGTCCCATAGGACGCTCCGTCCCATAGGATGCACCTAGGTTTTTTTTGGGGGGGGGGATAAAGGAAAAAAACTTTCCTTTATTACCCCCCCAAAACCAGGTCGGGGAACAGCGGTATGGCGGTGCTCCGCCTCCCCGCTGTCCCCCGAGCTTGTGGGGCTGGCCGATGTCTGCCCGGCGCGAGGGGCGCTCTGCTTCAGGGCGCCTCGCATGCCGGGCAGCAGGCTCCCCATGCTGCGGATGTCTGCCTGGTGCGGGGGGCGCTCTGCTTCAGGGAGCCCCGCGCGCCAGGCAGCAGGCTGCTGTCCGCAGCCTGGGGAGCCCTGCGGGAACTCCCGCGGGCTCCCCAGGCTTGCGGATAGCTTCCTGAAGCCTGGAGAGCGAGAGGGGTCGGTGCGCACCAACCCCTCTCGCTCTCCAAGCTTCAGCGAAAGCCTGTATTCGCCTCATAGGACGCACACAGATTTCCCCTTCATTTTTGGAGGGGAAAAAGTGTGTCCTATAGGGCGAAAAATACGGTACTTGTGGCTCCTACGCTGCTGCACAGAGAAGGCCCCATGCTCAATTCCCAGTATCTCCAGGTAGGAATGGGAGAGATGCTGGTTTGAAATCCTGGAGAACTGTTGCCAGTCAGCACAGACAATTCTGGGCTAGAGGGACCAGTGGTCTGACTTCCTACATTCCTATGATGTGATGATTAAAGCCCCTCTGTTCTTAAGACTGTCTCTCTCTGTGGTTAATCACCATTCTGCTTACAAGAGAAGCTGCTAACCATTACATTAGGAAGTAGGAACAGTTCTGCTGGATCAGACCAAAGACTCATTTGGTCCAGCAGTCTGTAGTTGCAGTGGTCAGCTAGATGTCTATGGGAAGCCCACAAGCAGGAGGTGAGCACATCCTCCAAGAATGTGTCTCATCCCTTTTAAAGCCCTCATTGCATATTGTGGTAGAGAATTCCATAGTTTAACTATGTGCTATATAATTCCTTTGATTTGAATCTTCAGTCAAAACAAAGTACTTCATTTTGCATCTCCTGCATCTTCCAACATTCAGCTTCGCTGATGATTCTAGGCTGTAGCATTTTGAGAAAGGAAGAACATTTTAACTCACACTTACCTGCACCGGCATTCCATGGTATTTTTTCTTTATATCTGTAACTTACCTTACCAAGCAGCCCTTTGTCTTTGGATAAGAAACCTCCACTGTTCTTCACTGCTACATCTAACGTTCTTCTCTGTACTTCAGGTAATGAAACACTGAAATCAAAGCTGAAAAGGGAAACAATCTTTCAGAGAAAACAATCTTAAAGTGAGCTTATGAATTGGAACACAATAAGGCATCGGATACAGGATGCCCAGCAGGTTTAGAATCTCTGTTTATATTTTTATTAAATTGTATTTCTAAACTGCAAAACAGGTCTGCAGGAGGGAAATCCCTGAAATTCTGAAAGCAGCCTTTGAGATATTCCAACTGAACTTCCATGCAAAAATATTCATGAACATAAACTCTCTCTCACCTCATGGTGAGCACTTCCCTCTGCAAAACTATTTGCTTTCTGAGATTTCTGTCCATCTCTACTTTCTAAGCATACCAGGCTATTAAAACCAATAATCTTTTAAAACAGACATTGTACTAAACCATGTTCCCTGTTTTAAAATAAGTGTTAAAGAAAACACTTGGGAAATCTGTTTACTTGGGAAAGAAAACTTGGGAAATCTGTTTACTCCTAAACAGTTTACTGTATACTACTGATTACTTCTATTTCACTGCAAACAAAGGAAGATTGTGTCAACTCCATGTTGTAAAAACAACAAATGAGAAACTGCAACATACGCCTGATCAAACACTGGATTTAAATTCTTCTTTGAAACGCTTGTTTTTCTTCTTCCTGATCTCCTCTTGTCAGGCAATAAATACATTCGGACATAGGGGTCAGATCCTTCTTCTGAAAAGGCAATTAGATTTCTATCAAAGAAACACAAAATAACCACATTAGAACAGAGGACAAAAAAATAATAATTTAAGTACACTGTCTCAGTATTCACGCCAACTGCCTCGGTATTCATCCTCTAGACTGACTGTCTTCTGTTTGTGCTGATTCTTAATCTCTTCTCTCCTAACATATTGCCTACTGTATACACAATCACTCTCTTGCCTCCCAGAAAGAGGATTCTGGTTGCAAGTAGCTTTCAATATGAGGCAACTGAGAGAAATAAGAGCTCAGGAAACAGCACTAATGGAGAGGTGATGGGCTGTCAAACCACATGAAAAAGATAGAGGAGTGAAACTCCTTGCCACTCATCACCACCTTCTCATGTGTGTTATTAGGAATGTAGCTTCTTCTTGGGTCAGTGTTATTCAGGGATAAATTACGAATATGGTGGAGATAATGAACCACCAACTCCCCATTTCTTACCCAAGTTCCTTTTAGACACCCCTCGCCCCAACCAAATGCATGAGCATAGAATTTTACCCTATAGCAGTCATATTAAAGATGCTAGTCTTCTGCCAATTAAATCCAATTTTTAGCAAAACACTGTAATATCCTAGTGGCAATTGTGCAACTGCCCATAATTTCTCTAGGGAAAGCACTTTAAAATGTTTTCAATATCTCATTTTTTATTAAACGTGGTTTCTTAACATTTCAACTGTCACAAACGAAGTCTAGATCATTTCAGCGGCTCAGTAATAAGCCTCAAAACTTATTTGGGATAATACTATCCTGTGCTTTGGGCTAATACAATCTGATGCTGGACTTAGAACAATGGTCCACCCACACTAGTGCTGCCAACCCTGACAGGTATCAGGTCTCCAGAGACTCAGGGAAATATCTTTTCCCTGTCCTCTTATCCAAGATTCTGCAAATGTTAGTTCTGGGGGCACATCTGGAACATCATCTGTCCAGAAGATATGGCCCCCTCTGCAACGTATTCGCTATACAGACAGCTACGGTGGTCCTTCTAGGGAAGTGGCCTGGAATCCACACATACTCATGCAAATTATATAATGAATAGATTATCAGAATGAGCTGCAGGGCTCGAATGACACTTCTGAATAAGGTAGATGGTGCTGGTGGAAGGGAGGGGGCTTGCCTCTACTACATTGCAATAACAGAAGCCAATGGTAGACAGTTGCTGCTTACAGTTACATATTGCTCTGAGCATTGCTATTATTCTACTGCAGTATATTTAACAAAATGTTTCAAAGAAAATAAAATGTAACGGTCAATAAAAAAACCCCAACATTAAAAGCAATTTTATTAAAAAAAACAAATGAAATGAAATGAACAGCTAAAGGTAGGGAATCTCTCTTATATAGTGAACACATGGACACCCGGTGATCCATGCCCTGGTAAGTTCTTGTCTGGATTACTACAATGTGCTCTACATGGGGCTTCTGTACAGCTTGCTAGGAGGCTGCCGCTAGTGGAGAAAGCCGGTGTTCAGTGACTTAAGAGTGATCGGCCAATTCAAAGCCGTATTACTCCTATTCTCCATGACCTGCACTGGCTGTTTGCTTCCAAGCCCAATTCAAAGTGTTGCCATCAATTTACAAAGGTCTATACAGATACATGACAGAACGCTTTCCCCAGTTTCTACAACTGGAGGGAGCCCTTCTTAGGATACCGCCGTCCCATGATACCCAAGGAACTGTGGCCTATTCAAAAGGCCTCCTGGTTGTGTTGTGTTGTGTCGACGTCTTTGCCTCTAGAGGTCCATCAGTCTTCAACTATTAGTTTCATTGGCTTTTGCAGACATAGCCCTTCACCTGGGACTGAGAGATCTGCTGAGCCACAGGATAGTTTGTGGGAATGGTTAGATGGCTTTTATGGTTATATTCTGTTGTTGGGTTCTTTTTTGTTGTTGTTCTACTTTGCATTGTAAAGGTGAACTGCTTTGTTATCAGGAGTGGAGCAGTATATAATTGGATTAAAATTAATGAATAGTAGTAGTTTTGCTGCTACAGAAAGAAGCAATATAATACTCACCTACATGTGTGAACCACAACCATAAGTTTGTTTCTTTGTGAGCTGTGCCGAATTGTTAACTGAATCTGTCCCAACGGAGACTGTCCTAACGTTGTGCCACTGTGAAGAAGAAGAAGAGGAGTTTGGATTTGATATCCCGCTTTATCACTACCCTAAGGAGTCTCAAAACGGCTAACAATCTCCTTTTCCCTTCCTCCCCCACAACAAACACTCTGTGAGGTGAGTGAGGCTGAGAGACTTCAGAGAGGTGTGACTAGCCCAAGATCACCCAGAAGCTGCATGTGGAGGAGTGGAGATGTGAACCCGGTTCACCAGATTACGAGACTACCGCTCTTAACCACTACACCGCACTGGCTCATAATACTGTCAATATTCAGTTGCCATGTTGGGGAAGCAACTGACATACATAAGCAGGTTTATTTGTTTTCTTGAAAGTTTTTATCCCCTCAATAGTAAGGCTATGACCTTTCACAAACTCAGAAGACATGCCGCATGCTGTTTTAACCCAGCTTTTTCTGGTAGAAATACAGTGGAGATAACCTGGAGAAGCAGAACGAAAGCTCATCTAATCTATAGGAATCCCACAGGAACACTTTCCCCACTTGAGATTCTCAGTAACTGGTATTCAGAGGCACACTGCCTCCGACAACGAAGCTAGAGCATGCTTCATATCTACTCTGCAGTGAAGGTTACATTACAATGTACAGATGCAGCATGTAAGGCGATTGCTGCTGTGTGCAAATGTCAGCAGACTGCATGAACTGTTCTTCAGGCACAGTAGTTTTAAAGAACAAAGGATGATAAACATGGTTAAGAAAGCTGTAAAGCCAAAATAACATATTCTGTTACATTCAGGGGCTTATACATCTGAATGGAGAAACACCCCTAAGTTACTAAATGCACAAGAATACAGAGAAGTCAACAGACAATATGAGCTCTCCATGTTAGTTGAAAAAGGATCCTCGCTATGTGCCTCACATTTAGGTTAGAAAGAGCCAACAGAACGTGAACTAGTATACCAATCAGAATGGGGTTCAATTTAGGTTGGTAAATTTAAAGACATACCTACAAAGGCGAAGGCAACTATAATAATGAGAACTGTTTACTCATATGTTCTGTTGTCAAAAACTCCACTGAGTTGCAGAAGCAACAAATATTTTTACATCGGATAATACTGCACTGTTAATTTATCTACTGTGCAATGGCAAATTAGGTATAGTTGCTATTTATAGACTAAGGATGCCAGCTGTCATCAAGCTACATAATCTTTATTTTAAGACCTCACAAGCCAAGTTTCAGTTTGTAATTCTCAGTGGTCAGTAAGACTGTGTCAACATATGCCAGTGTTTTTGGGAAAAGTATCATTCTCCCTGGAGAGGCTTACAAGATAGGTTCTGGGCATAAAGCAAAGCCTAATTGACCACAATTATCGGAACCAGGAAGGATTTGTTATTTCAAGTCATAGTTAGATAGGGCTGCTGAAGGCATCTTCTCATCAATGTTCATGTTTGCTACAACATCGCACTCTGTAGTCTAGACAAGATTTCATCAATCTGGTGCCCTTCAGATGTTTTGGACTACAACTCCCATCAGCCCCAGCTAGCACAGCTACACAGCCCAAAACAACTGGAGGACACCAGGTTGATGAAGCTTGTCTAGACTACATGTCCTGTTGTGAAAGGAACCCTAGCTCCTCACATCCATTATGTTTGATGGCCTTCCTGGTTCCTTCCTAGCCTAAAACCTAATGTAAAAAGAATTCAGGACCATACTTTTCAAGTTGTCTCAGCCGCTGCCGCAGCTCCTGCGTGGCAATGGGCAGTGATATGTCCGAAGCGATACTTGGAGTAGGTTCTTTGACTGAAAGGTGGCTGGGAGAATAGCTCAAGTTGGAGGCAAGGAGACTGGATGAGCTTCTGCTGAGATCTGTTGGCCACTGAGGACTAGGATTAGAGGGATGGCTTTTTTCAACCACATCAGTCTTTTTATCAGTGTCTGTTGTTGTGGAAACTGGGTGTTTTTTCAAGTCAGTTGCTGGAGAACTGGGGACCTGAGGCTTGAAAGAACCTTTTCTTCCATCTTTGGAAACGGAGGGCCTTTTCACTTGGGCTGAGTGTTGGTGGTCTGGAGACCTCTCTTGCTTTTCAAGAGAAAGAATCTAGAAGCCACAGAACAGAGAACATGGCATTAATTTCTTGGCGCAGTACAGAAAGGAACTGCAATTTATTTTCTTTTTTTTAATGCAATTTGTTTTCTTCCAAACTTGGGAACATATATTTGCATGTCACTACCCCAGTTCTTTAACATATATTCATGGAGATCATGTACCCTGAGTGCAATCTTCATGTTTACAGTGCTGTTTGGACCAGAATTGCTAAGATGAAATCTCTGATGCATAGTTAGATCTTGACTTTCAAGAAGTTGACTTAGAGGAAGCTTGAAATTTCCCAAGGAACACTGGTGTTGTTCATCCTTGACCTATTGGAGAAGGAGAAGAAACTGAGCACACTGAACATTTTAAATAAAACTGACTCAAACTCATAAAGAGGATCAGCGACTTTTCAATAAAACACCTTTTTTAAACAACAACAACAACTTCATGCTTCTTCACTAACTGGTTGCAGAGAGAAAAGCCGGTATTTTACTCAATAGTGCTATTTCTATGGAAAAGGCAATAATCTGCCAAAGTCGAATTAAAGTAGAACTGCTGTCTGGAACCAAGCAAAACAAAAATGTAATGATTCATATATAAATAATAATAGCTGAGTTTGAAGGCTCACACTGGGGGGCTTTAGATTCATGGCGATCAGCTCCATTTGATAAGACATCCACATTCTAGCACCAGATGCAGTCAGGTTTACTGTGACCACCAATATAAACATTATAGAAGCTGTTTAAAATGCTACTGCCTGGTCTAGTAAAACAAATTTGACTGTGCAAACTGTTCAGCATTTGCAGAAGTGACACAAGGTTACCCAAGATCTTGTCATAGATCTTGGCCCATAGACACCTTTGGATTTTTGAAAGAGTACTATGAATGCCACCGCCTCTGATCACTACCCTTCTCATCAGATCAGTCACCCTACTAGAGAAGCAAGAAAGAAAGAATGCACACACTTCGCTTTCCCAAGGGATCTGTGGAAAAGCTGGATCCCATAGAATAAATATGAGCCTTGGAAATGACATAGAGCTGAAGGAGGAAGTGGAAAAGAGTGTCAACTCTTCAAACTTTCTTCTTTTGCTCCATGCACTTTTCAAGGAAGGAGAGGTAACCACCCTCACAACTTCATGTCCAAGGGGGTAAGATTCATTGGCACCAAGGCAAAGCCTCAAACGTGCCATAAACCAAAAGCTCATGCCATGACAAATGTATTGCTGTGTAAGGTGCTACAATACCTTTTTCCGGCAACACATTAAAATGACAACTCATTTAGAAGATACAGTGGTACCTCGGGTTACAGACGCTTCAGGTTACAGACTCTGCTAACCCAGAAATAGTACCTCGGGTTGAGAACTTTACCTCAGGATGAGAACAGAAATCACGTGGCGGCAGCGGGAGGCCCCATTAGCTAAAGTGGTACCTCAGGTTAAGAACAGTTTCAGGTTAAGAATGGACCTCCAGAACGAATTAAGTTCTTAACCCGAGGTACCACTGTATTGCCATGCTGTTTTAGGAACGGTGGAATCAAAATACTAGATCGGGGAAGGAGAAAAGTAACCCACGGATATTGGAAGGAAGTGGTGTAGTGTGGGGGGTGCAGGGGGGGCCGGCCGCACCGGGCGCAACATCTGGGGGTTAGGGTTAGGGAGCGCAAATCCACGGGTTAGGGGGTGCAAATCCACGGGTTAGGTGGCGCAAATTATTTGCCTTGCCCTGGGTGCTGACAACCCATGCTATGCCACTGTTGGAAGGGATTACTTAGGGGCAGGAGCTGGTATAAACAGGGGAGAGGCAAAGACCTCAGAGGAGAAAGACATCTTACCTCAACTTCTAGCTCTTGCCGTCTAGGGTTGTGAATAAAGAAAGTGAAGTTTTCCTCCCATACAGGTTCATTGGTCTTGTAACGAATCTATTGAGGGGTAGGGAGAAGTTTGTTTATTACAATTAATGGCTAAAAATTAGCTCAGTTTATACAGTTGCCTTGCAACTTTCACACACTGTACTCTGAAAAAACGGTAAAGTTCATATGGACTAGAAAAATCACATGGAAGCTTACATGGTGAATCAAATGCCCCTTATAGATTTAAATGACTTTCCCAGCATATCCAAGAGTAACATAATGGCAAGAGTGTGGGTTTGGATGTAGGAAACTGAAGTTTAAAACCCCATTTCAGTTGCTAGATGGCTGCTTCAGGCAAGTCTCTCATTGTCTCTCAGCCTAACACAATTCACAAGGTTATGAGGATGACTAAAGAGGCCTTGGGCTCCTTAAAGGAAAAGTAAGATACAAGAGTAATAAAGGCCCAGTCCTTCAGGATGGGTTACAACACAAATGTCACTCATTTTTCTTTGGTTTAATAAATTAACCTGCTCTCAAGCCTGCTTCTCAATAGGAGGACGGAGGACTGCAAACACCTCTCCTATTACGTGTAACACGTAAACAACTGCGAGCAATGAATTCACAAGAATACCTCAATATTTATCCAAGGTAGATTTAGGTCTTTGAGCTTACCTTACTTTCTTGTGCCTTGTGTCCAACAGTCAGCAAAACAAGGGGGTTGGGGTTGCTATTTAGTTTCTTTCCTGACTGAAGACGAAGGGGGGGAAATGAAATTCTTTTAATATCTCATTCGGGCTTTCCATCAATCGAACCCAGCCCTCCACCCATTTATTTTGTATTCTTTACAAAGTTGTTTATAGGTTATGAGGCAAACAGCAATCACACACACCTACCTTGAAATATTCTGTACAGGGGTACTACCGACACAACTGAGTTTCAAATTCCTTCCCATATTCCCCCCCCCCCACACACACTTTTGAATGAAACTGTTCCATAAAGTTCAACCTCTCAATCTGTTAATAAGCATTTCAAATCCCAGGAAAAAATAAATGAATGTTGCGGTCTGCATGCAGATGGGGGATATGGATAAAGCGCAAGCTCAGAAAGCTTATTTTTATTATATGTATGATGGAATATTATGATTAAGCTGAACTTCAGACTCATAAAACATTTTTTTTTTTTTTTGAAGGGGGGAGAAGCAAAGAAGGAGATGCGCTATGATATCTTATAGGTTTACTTATAGGTTTACCCAACCATCTGTCATGTCTGAGCCTTGCTCCCCAGTTGCATACCATTAGGTCAAACTGCAAAAAGTAAACAGTGACTTATCATCATTTCACAGAAACTGAACATTCCCCAATCGTGAATGTCTGTTAACATGCTTTAAATTAATGTCTCACAGAAACGCTTTCATTAAAAAGAGAAGTATATACAACAGTTAATCCGAAGCAGCTATTAATGTTGTTAAAAGTCATTACCTAGATTGTTAACAAATTTATTTGAACTTGAGACATAGGACAAATTAAAATGCTTAAAAAGCAGAGGTTAATAAACTATGTTAAATGGTTAGAGGTTCTTAAACATGTATTAAATCAGCTGTTGTCCTGAAATTTTTGAATAAAAATATTTTTAAATTTATATTTAATTGATACACAAGCTATTGTTAATGCCTCTCTTTTTACTGATCATTATCTTTCATTGAATGAAGCTAAAACTTTTAGATTAGGAGAATCATACAGCATGTTTTGATTCCTATCAAATCAGAGGGTTTTTTTTACTGCAATTCATCTTGAAGTGCAAATTCCATTTCTCATACAAAATACTCAATTTTAAAAGAAGCCATATCATTAATCATCTATGTGCTCAGGAGAATAAAAGGAGAGTTTCTTTGATCCTCCACCGCCTCACCAAACATGCCCCCCCAAATATTAACTATGGGGCTGTTTGCCAAGAAACTGGTTTAGTGATCACTGAATGAAGTATATAGCATTAAATCAAGTTCTTAGCCACCAACCTTTACAAGATTGAACTTTTTGCTTACTGGGTGCTTGACTTTCCGTTTTCCAAATAGTTACGTCTATCCCCTCTTATTTCTCACTATTCACACGTTTCCTTTATGTTACTCTCTCTTTTTAGTCTTCCTGAATCTTTTTTTTTTTTAAATACAGAAGAAGGATAAGCAAAATGTGTATTTTTGCAGTGCACTGAACTGTCTACGAATGTAAAAATCTCTCCCAATAGAGGAAATTTCTTTATATTTTGCTAATCCAATGCTGTGAAGCAGTGCATAAATATTCCAGGAATATTGAACAAGAAAAAGTTTACGCTCCCTCATACAACAGCTGCAAAACAGCAATTTTAAATCCTCGCACATGGGATCCACTAATTTGGCCTTGTTTCTAACCAAGCCTTATGAGGAATGGTTGAAGGAGCTGGGTAGGTTTAGCCTGGAAAAGAAGATACTGAAAGGAGAGATGATAGCCATCTTCAAATACCTTAAGGGCTGTCACCTGGAAGATACAGCAAGCTTGTTTTCTCCTGCTCTGGAAGGTAGGACCCGTAGCAATGGATTCAAGTTACAAGAAAGGAGATTCCAACTCAGCATCAGGAAGAACTTTCTGACAGTAAGAGCTGTTCAACAACGGAACAGACTCCCTCGGGAGGTTATGAACTCTCCTTCATTGGAGGTTTTTAAGCAGAGGTTGGATGGCCACCTGCCATGGATGCTTTAGCTGAGAGTCCTACATTGTAGGGTTGGACTAGCTGACCCTTCCAAGTCAATGATTCTATTATAATAGCCAGTGAGAACAAGCCGTAACTTCCTATCCACAGAGACAATTACTGTAAAACACCCTGTGATCCCCTGATATATAAACTTAATAAATAAAATAAAATTATATCCATCCCCTTTGAGCCTGCTTCCAGTTTAGATTGTTTACAGGGGAGGAGAGGCTGACTATGGGCATTTGCATATGCATACAGGTGTTTGTAAATAATCCTTTCTTTCCAACCAATGGCACTAATTACGTCTTTCAGTGTCTCTGTGCTGCAAACATATTTTGGAAAGATTACTCTTATGGTAAATATACTGGAGGCACCCTCCTGCTACTTGACAGAACTCAATTTATGGTTGCCACTGGTCTATGTGAATTTTGGTCAGTACCTATAAGGGTCATCCTGAAACATGCTGCTATGAGTAAGTCTACAAAGCTAGTTTCTAATCAATTTCATTTTGATGTTTTGCTGTGCTGGAAGATAGGAATGAACCAATGGGCTCAAATTACAACAGAAATGATTTAGACTAAACATAAGGAACTACTATGGATTCCTCTTTGTTACAGGTTTTTAAGCAGAACAATTTTTGATTTCCTGCATCAGAAGGGGGTTGGATTAGATGACCTTCTGAGATTGTTTCCAACTCTATAATCGTAATATTCTTAAAGTGCCCCTTGTACTAGCCTTATTATGAAGACTTCAGCTTTCATCACAGATTACTGATAAATTTGATTACGCTTTAAATACAGTAAATGCATGATTCACAGTAGAATCTGGTAGTTTTGTCTTTGTTTACAGCTTTGTTTTTGCTTAGTTATAATAAGGTTTTAATGTTTACAATGCTACACTGATATGATTTTCGGTGTGCTGCCTCACAGACAAATAGATCAACACTCTGTGTCTTAATGCCTGGTACCAAGTAAGATTATGTTCTGTGGCACAAAAAATACATAGGAATGTCAATTTGTTACAGGTGACTCTGTGACTCCATTTAACGTTGTGACTTTAAATGGAAAGGTATATTAGCTTTACCTTCAGGGCTTTCTGAACAGCCGACTTCTTCAAGGCATCTGGATTATACTCTAATGGATTATGCTTTTAAATCAGAAGAAAATGAACATACAAAGGGTTAATAAGGCATGCAATGAAGCAGTTCTATGGTGGTTAAGTAAGGACAGGACAACAGGGGACGGGGGGGGAAAACATTCTCGGAATGAAGGGGAAACAACAAAATGATTATTTCAAAATAATACGACGAAGTCTTTTGTTCTCATTCTATCTTTAATTCCAGTATTCTAATTAGACACCCTTTTTTCCAGCAGGGCTAATATTCTTCTCCCTTATTATTCTCTTTTCAAAACAGTACGACGCAACATAAATTTCTTTTTTGAATTGGAGATGTATGAATAGGAGTGGATTTAAACAAGATTGGCCTCTGACCATTTCCATTAACATCTTCTCATTTTATGTTGGTAATAGCTGCATCACCCCAGAAGTGACTCAGGCAAGCTATTAAGAATTAAGCTACCAAGAAAAACTGCAATGCTACCAGCTGAATAGGAGAAGGGGCTTCAAAAGAAAGCAAACAGGTGTTCAGAGTGCCGTTTTCACCCCATGGGGTTTTGAAGCAGAACATAATCTTTAATGGGAAAGTTCTGCTTTGAAAGCTCATGGCATTTGCTGTTCAGTAACATAAGCAACTCTGCAGTCATGCTGTAACCCAAAACAGGAAGAGAAAGTTAGATTGTTCCAGAAATATCTCTTTAAAAATTCAATTGCACAGGATTTTTTTCCTGTTTTCTGCGGGGGTGGAATAATCTGGTTGTTAGACACACACATCTGTCTCTGTTTCAGGGTACAGCATGAGTTTTGATGTGAAAGTCATGCATTGATACAAAAACAAAAAACCAATCCCACAAACCTGTTGGAAAGAACTAGAAACGTGAGGTATACAGGACTGCAATGTTTTCTGTTCCTTCCTTCTTCAGGGGGGTAAGAGAGAGAATGGGCATAGTTTCTTATCTCTGAATATAGCTCCTTAGAAAGAAATTTATTTCCCAGGGCCATAAGTAACCCAATAAGTAAGCTCAAGAACATGAAGTTCTTCTTGAAGCAATGGGTCAATTTGAATCAAGAGTTCTTTGCAGGAGCATTTCAAAGAGTTGTGTACATACCACACTCGTGCTACTGGCAACCTGGGAAGGCGTCTTAAGAATCAAGAATGGACAACACAACGTGCAGGAACTTGGCCTGTTTCTATTTGCCACCTAGAATAGCTATGTGCATTATATATAGACATAGCTGTCAACGTTTCCCTTTTTTAAGGGGAAATTCCCTTATTCCAAATAGGATTCCTCGCAAGAAAAGGGAAGAGTTGACAGCTATGTATACAGACTGAAAGAAAAAAGTGGCCTATAAGGTTTAGAAACAACCCAAATAATTTTACGTTGCATGTACACACAGGTCCCCCATTCTTTTTTCTATACGTGCTAATTCTTGATATGCAAGTTTCAGTCACTGATAGCTCTTGCTGCTTTATTTTCAGGGGTTCACGAATGTCACGAGTACGTTGAAAGTTTGTGATCCTGCTGAAATTTTGCCGTACTCTTATTTTTTAAAGAATCGTGTTAAGTTCAAATGGGCACTTTAACTGAGAAGGCAGCATTATCAGAATTAAATCAATGGGTTGTATAGGGGATTGCAGTTTGCATGCTGCTGCCATGCAAACTTTATAATGTCTGTGAAGGGAAAGGAGCCTTTAAAATTATCCAAAACAGGGAAGGGGGGTCAGCCACTTCTAAAGTAAAAAAGGGAAACACAAACTCCAGCTTAATTTGGCTCAAGTTGCTGTTAAAATTGGATTTTTTTTCTAGAGCAATCTTTGTCGGCTGTAACAAGCTATTCCCATCTAGGCCAACTTAACATGAAAGGGAACTTAGCACTTGGGAGACACAACATGTGGCACAACGTACAACAGAAATGGGGCTGAGAAAGCTATTGGCAGGATGTGAGATTATGAGCACCTTTATCCCATGTGTGAAATTTCCTCAGCACCACAGCCAAGGAGCCCTGGCATTACATGTGACTGTCACTACCCTGGATGGAAAAAAAACCCCATATTGAATGTGCTTCTAAAGTAATTTTCAGAACCAGAACTAAAGCTGGGTTCTCAAAGGAAACTTAGAAGCAAACCCAATTTGGCAAATATCTGACTCAACACCAAATCACGTTGGTATGGAGCTGGAGAATGTACACACAATCCTAAAATGTGATATTCACACCTAAGCTCAGTTCCACTGAAAGCAAGAATAGGGCCAGGGAAGAGATAAGTACCTATCCCCTCCAAGTAAGACTCATCTGCTTATAAAAAGTTATAAAATGTTACACCAGGTGCAAAACTGATGAGCTAAAGACTTATAAAATGAATGCAAACATCTAGGATTATTCAGATAGGAATAAAAGGACTCGAGGCCATTATTTATATGCCTCCCGTCTGACTGGTTGCCCCAGCCACTCTGGGTGGCTTCCAGCAAAATATAAAAACACAATAAACATCAGGTATGAAAGACTTCCCTATACAGGGCTGCCTTCCAATGTCTTCTAAAAGCCATATAGTTGTTTATATGTTTGACATCTGATGGGAGGGCATTCCACAGGGCAGGTGCCACTACCAAGAAGGCCCTCTGCCTGCTAGTGTAATAAATACACTAGCCTGATGGGGACTGACAGAAGAGGGGCAGAAAGTTGAATTTCCACATTGGGAATGGAGTGGGCTTGCCTCCTCGGTTTCCCAGCTGCACCTCCAGCTACCAGGTTAGTGCTTAAATATAAGACTAGAATTAGCACACAAAGCACTGATCAATGATCCCCCAATATAAAGGCGTTTGTGTGTGAATAGGCCATTGGTGTCACAATGAAAACATCTGGCCCAACTTACTCCTTTTTATTTTAAGTTTTGATTATGTGACTAAGAAATGGTCACAGCATTTCAAACTGCAGACTATGAATGCATCTACAGGCTTTCTTGGGTTTAGAATCTAAATGTGTTATGTGAGTGTTTACCATCGTAGGGAGAAAACAGGTGTTTCGCTTTAAAAGCCCATGAGTTGAAAAGCATGTTAATTTTGACATCAACTGTCAATGCATTATTAGCATTCTAACCATAGTCTCCAAAACAGAAGTCATTATTTCCAACTGGTAGAAGCACTAATACTGCAGGGACCTTTTCTTAGTGACAAAAGGCCATTGGGGAATACGCTCCCTCCATCCTGCAGCACAGAACACAAAATTTACCATGTAACTTGGGGAACACACAACTAACTTTCTGTTTCATTGGGCAACTTGAACCAAATCTAGGAGATTCCAGGCCCTCGCGTACAACACACCACAAAACTTGCACTTAATTTTCCAAAGCATCGCAAAAGAGGTTGGCTCTTAAAATCCACGACAGTTTCATTTTGCTGCAAGCAAACGTCTGCATTTCTTCTAAAGTACCCACGGAGATGAACGAATAAACATGCTAATCTTTGAAAAGGCTAGTTTAAAATGAACAAAACATACCTAACAAACCGAGCTGATAAAACAGTTTGGAAATGCAATAAGTATAACAACACTGCACACTTTTAAAAAAGAAAGCCATGCGTGTGAACGAAAACTGCATGCTTCCACCATTCCACTATTAGGGTTAAGTGGGTTTAGTTGCACCAATCCACTCTGGCGGGGTTAAAAAAAACAAAAGAGAGAGAATGTATAATACACATGTAACACCCGAGAACTCACAAATAGTGTTCTATAGAGTGAGGTAGTATTTTCACAAAAGACTAGTCCCGATGCTCTCCTCTCTTTTAAGTATCCACACCCAAAGTTTCCTTCGTAGATACTCTTTAGGAAGATGGAAATGGAAGAAGAAAGCAGAGGGTTGTGGCAGCATGAATGCACAAGCAGCTTTACCATTAGCACAGTTAAGGAAAACAGTCAAAGGTGTCTGGAATTACAGACTGGCACCCACCAAAGGTACATGTGTCATCATTTTTGCCATTTGTTGGTCTCACCTCATTAACACAGCAAAGTAACCCCCCCACCCCCAATTGTTTGCATGCTTCCGTCTACAGTACCACTTGAGCAAATCATAGGACCTTTTTACTTACGCATCCTTCTGCAAACGTGTTTAATCACATTGGTCTGTTTCACTATAATTTACAAAGGGTGTTTTCATAATCCCAAACTGGCCCAATATCCGGCAATCATGTATTAATAAAATTAATACAGTAGAAGGAGAATCCCTATACCATTTATCATCATCAAATCACTGTTTTGAAGCGTTTTAAAAAATAAAGGTGTGGGTGTGACTAAATCATTGGACAGATCCAAGTTCTATCTGGGCAAGAGAGAGGCTTCAATCTCGTCCAAGAAAACTTTGAACACCTTTGTCAGATTACCGTGACTCTCTATGACAGGGATAGGAGACCACTGATCCTTCCAAAGGGGGCTGGGGCCAATGGCAGCTGGATTCCAGCAACATCTGGATAGGTAGGTTCCTCATCCTTTCTCTATGGCTATACTCTTTGCTCAAGAGCTGTTCCCCCCACCCTGATTACCTTACACATGTTTCTGATAGAGCAGACCCTTGAACAGTAAATTTGCAGGTAATACCACTTCCCCTACTACTTAAACAAGTAGCACACCATCAAGTAAACTTCAATTATGCCATGAGATCCTGTAAAGTCATATGCACTATCCACCCAGTTACTTATTAATCTACATTGAACATCATGTCCCAATGGACTGGTTTATTTAAAAGTTTCACGTTTCTCCACGTAAAACTAAAAACTAAAAAAAACCCTTTAAACCTGTAATGGAAAGGAAATAGAAAAACGTGACCACATTTTATTTTTTTATAAAGACATTACACAACACTTTCCCAATCCCGGTCCCCCAAACACACCAGGAAAACCACCGCCAGCATTTTAGATTGAAACAAGTTACTTCTTTGGGTATCAATGATTGCAGAAAACTAAAATATTAGTGTAAAGATTGCACCCGGCAACCTTAATAACAGCACAGAAAATGTGTCGTTGAGAAAATTAACCTTTAAACATACTGATGCATAGCACTGTTTCAAGTGTAAGAAGCAAGTACTCCAAGACTCCAAATCCATTTCTTACTTTGTCTTTAAAATATCACCAGAGATTAGCAAATCTGGGCCATTCCAGAATTCACTTCTGAAATTTGGTCTGCATGGTAGAAAACAGGGAGCAGGCAGACTCAAGGTCCTTAATAAGTTTGCCATCTCTTCAAAAGGCAGATATGAATGGAGTCAAGAAGGAGCAGTCTTTAGGTAAAGGTAAAGGGACCCCTGACCATTAGGTCCAGTCGTGACCGACTCTGGGGTTGCAGTGCTCATCTTGCTTTATTGGCCGAGGGAGCCGGCGTACAGCTTCCTGGTCATGTGGCCAGCATGACTAAGCCACTTCTGGTGAACCAGAGCAGCGCACGGAAACACTGTTTACCTTCCCGCCGGAGCGGTACCTATTCATCTACTTGCACTTTTGATGTGCTTTCGAACTGCTAGGTTGGCAGGAGCTGGGACCGAGCAACGGGAGCTCACCCCGTTGCAGGGATTCGAACCGCCAACCTTCTGATCGGCAAGACCTAGGCTCTGTGGTTTAACCCACAGCGCCACCTGCGTCCCCTTTAACTCAGCCTAAAAAAATGACCAAGTCTATTACTCATTAACATAGCAAGGGAACAACCTACAATGGAAGAGCGTCTACTCTTGGGAGAGTAGCAGCTCCCAACTACCCAGCAGAAGTGTGCAGAAAAATAGCTGAAAGGCAACTGGATCTTGCTGCTCAGCTTCTCCCGCAGAAGATGGCACTGTCTGGTGTATGCACAAACCTATCTTTGGGTCTTTGCAGCTTGTGGCTTCCAAGTGAAGCCTCCCTCCTGACAGAAGATACAGGTGCAGCTTGTTTCCTTCATTTTTCACATCCCCATTTTGGAAAATGTTCCTTGAAAATCATCACTCCTTAAGAGCAGCGCTATGGGCTCATTTTTTTAAAAAAAGCAATTCCTTGTCTTTGTAATTTCTCTTTTCATTCAGGGTTCCCTTTGTGCCTGAGAAGACCTCGTAAGACATACAGCCTAAATCAGGGAATTCTCTTATAAGGAATAATGGTATTAAGTTACGCACATCAAATGGTTGGCCTTGATCCAAATAAGTATAGGCAGGAGATCTGCACTTGCAGAATTATGGTTTTTTTTGTTCTGAAGCAAGTAGAGCCTATACTACTATATAGGAGCTGCTATTTGGAAGAAGTAAACAAAAGCTTTGTTTTATGTGCATACTCCCATGTTCACAAAACGGTGGCCAACTCCAAACAATGCCATCATAAAACAAGGAGTATAATCCTACATATGCTCGCTCAGCTACAGCCTGGGTCTCTCTTTTTTTTTTTTTTTTGCTCCGTGATTCAAAAGATCTTCCATTCACAGAAGCAGAGTTTCACTCAGCACAACTCTCCTTCTATTCATGGAACAAAAGTCAGGACCCAAACCAACCAGTCTTACTATGCATACCACAGATATAAGCCCCCAAAGTATCCATTCTTGAATCCAAGTGATACACTTCTATTGGGCTTGGCACACTTTTCATAGGACTGCTCGTGCGTTTTCTTTCAAGGCTACAAGTTTAATCAAAATCTTTTATAAGTTCTGAAAATGCAATTGGTAGACCAGTGACGCAAACAGACTCAATCGCAATGTGTGTTTACTATAAAAAGATGCTAATGTTGCAGAATGCAGATGAAAATGTAATTAAAAACATGGCATAATGTGAGTTAGTGAGGCAAAGTGGCTTAGTAATAAGCAATGTGTGACAGAATAAAAAATGGGAATCACTCGAAGAGAAATACTATTACCGCAAAGAGACTTACTGGCAGATTTCTTGCGGAATCCAAATAGAGAATAAGCAATGCTGACGACAGGCCATCATTGGCTTGATCTTTATCAGCTCGAATGCTTTTTAGAACCTAAAGTAAGAGAGGCATAATTTAAAAGAAATGTTCAAGTTAGTTAGCATATTTTCCCATGTATAAGACTAGGTTTCTTTCCTAAAAAATAATGTCCAAAGTTGGGGGCATCTTATACACCGATAGATCTCCCCCCATTTTCTTAAATCCGAGTCCCCCAAAATAAGGGGCATCTTATACATAGGGGCGTCTTATAGACAGGAAAATATGGTATATTGGGGGGGGGGCTCTGTTGGAATGCCATGGTAAGACATGCACAAGTAACTGTGCGACTCAGACTCACACACGCCTCCATCCACCTCCGACATGGCTGAAGGTGGGTTCAGAACCATTTTTCTTTTTGCTTTCTGCTTTACCTGAACCAGGGACTGTGTTTAGCATATACTCTGAATCAATTCAAGCCAACTCTAAACCATGGCTTCTGTAGCTAGCATCTGTATACCATGATCCCAGTTTGGAGAAAACAGGAAGCCACAGTTTACGTAAAACAGAAAGTAAAAGCTTCTTAAGTCCTCTTCCTAGCTGCATGGAAGCCTGAGGGTCATTGTGGTTCTTGCACATGCAATAACAAACCATTGTTTATCAAGCAATATGACTTATGTGCGTGTATAGACCCAGGTCTTCGTTCTTATCTATATTGAGCCCTGTTTAAAGCTGCGAGACCATGTATTAAAAAGATAAAACAAAATACCTGATCAAGATTCTCTGCAGTAGGCATCAATGTGAGCCATTCTAGTTTTAAATGCAATCTTCCTTTGGAAACTTCATCCAAAGTAAACCACTGTAGGCAAAGTAAATAAAAGATTGTGAGAGGCAAAGCCATCCACTAATGTGATATTATAGATTCCTGTTTCATGACATACTACTGGTACTTTGTGAAATGGCGCACTGACATAGCATAATGAAACTAACCAACAAAAACAGCTAAGTCAACATGATTGCCATTTATCTTTTACATTCAATCCATGCTCTAACACAACAATAAAAATGACTTCATGTTAAGACATTGTACAAACACTTCCTTACAAAAAACATTTTAACCAACGACTATCAGTGACTTCCACATGCTGTGACCATTCATGCCACAATTCTACGACTTCGGAATGTCTGCCATCATAATAAATTGACACAGAGGTTCCACAGAAACGGTGTTATAAAAATGTAGAAATCTGTTGCAGAGGGAGGCTGCAATCTTGGAAGGAAGGTCCATCAAATCCTTCAACATTTGAATCTGAAGTGTGATTAAGCACCATAGGCTGACCACCTCAGGGTATGAGCCCTGGTGCACTCTTCCCACCAAAGAGCAGGTAGAGACTTACCTCATCTAAATGGCGCTCCTTTTCGACCTCAATTAGGTCTATCATTAGACTAGGAGAAAAACACATTAGAATAATATCATTATCTCTTCTGTAAGTCGTATAGTTGGAGGGATCAATGAAGTATTAAAAAGGATAGTGGGTTAATCTAATTATATTTATGCTATCCTTATGATAATTTGTTGTTGCTTATTAAGTTTGTATACCGCCTTTCATCTGAAGATCACAGGGCGGTTCACAACATAAAAATACAAAATGAGAACACAAAATAAATAATACAGACGGGGACCATTTTGTGCAGGGGTTCTGGTCCTTGCCCCCATGCAATCCCTTCCTGGGTCCAAAAGGTTATGTGTCAATTGGACATGCACAAAATGGTCGCAGCCTATAATAAAACAAACCAATGACCCCACTCCCACAAGCACAGTTTAAAGGTCATAGAATGCCAAAGGCCTGGTTATAGAGAAACGTTTTCACCAGGCACCTAAAGTATAGAAAGAAGGCACCCCAGGCGAGCCCCTCTAGGGAGATCATTCCACAAACGGGGAGCTACCACAGAAAAGGCCCGTTCTCGTGTTGCCACCCTCCAGACCTCTCATGGAGAAAGCACACAAAAAAGTGCCTCAGATGATGACTGCAGAGTCTGGGTTGGTTCATATTGGGAGAAGAGTTCCATAAAGAATGAGAACAGCACCTAAGTTCTCATGGGGCAAGAAAGGAATTGGTAAGGATATATAAAGCAAAGGGTGACTGCTTGTTAAGAGCTTTGAAGAAAATCGCCACATTTGCAATTGTTGTGGAAAAGACATAAATTAGGTCCTTGAACTGTGATAACATGGTGTTCTGGGGCAAACAACAGAGCATGGCTTCCATGAGGGCACATATGAGCTTTTTATGATTTATTCCTCAGGCAACGTATCAGGCAGCTAAAGCCAGATATATGTTACAATAGTAAAATCAATAGAGCATAAGAATTAGGTAGGAACATATTGTTACTTCTAACACTTACAACATCTATTTCTTTTCAGCGTGTAGGTATTTTTAAAATGCCATGCATGCATTATCATGGCATTTTGAAAAGGCAACTGTTCTGTGTATATGCCAATACTGCATTTGGAGATATTAACTATTTTTCTTCAAGTTCTGCCGAGTTCAGCTTTCCCTCCCCTTTCATTTACAGTTGTACCTCCGGTTACATACGCTTCAGGTTACAGACTCCGCTAACCCAGAAATAGTACCTCGGGTTAAGAACTTTGCTTCAGGATGAGAACAGAAATTGCATGACGATGGCGCAGCAGAAGGCCCCATTAGCTAAAGTGGCACCTCAGGTTAAGAACAGTTTCAGGTTAAGAATGGACCTCCGGAACAAATTAAGTTCTTAACCTGAGGTACCACCGTATAGAAAGAGGGATTCTGGCAGTGGCACGCAAAGAGAAAACAAGGACTAAAAAATACTTAAAACACAGGAAGCATGGAATTTTATCTGTTAACATGCAAATCAGAAGAAAGTACAAAAACAACTATTTTTTGCCAATATCATAAATGTATCTTGCTTGGCATTTACCTTCCCAGGAAGTCATCCTTGTCTGGGTCTTCATCAAAGAGCTCAATCTCCAATTCCTGTCCTGGGTGCTCATACACTAAGGCCTGCAAATAAAGTAGTGAATAAGGTAACCTATTCAGCACAAATATCTGACATGGCTTTTAATGCGTCTACATTATACAAAATACCTATCACTACAGAATTATGTATAAGTAGAGAAATGCAGGATATGCACAGGTCTGATTACAAGGATGCTGATAAACCAATAGGATTTATTACTACCATATAGACAAAAATGAATAACAAAAGAAAACTCTTTTACATCCTCACCTTTTTAGAATGAATTTTTTTTTACACAGTTTAACTTCAGAACGAAGTGGCTTAGCAACACCACCCAGAAATTAACCATTGTGAACGGGTTGTATTTAAGTTTTTCTCAGAGTAGAGCCACTGAATTTAATGGTGCTAAGTTAGTCTTGTCTATTATTATTATTATTATTACTATCATCATTGTTCACACAGCACCAAACTATGGCTTGGCATTATACCTGAACTAATCTGTTGTGCTGACAGCTGCAGTAGTCCATATACCAGCAGCAGAAAAGACACACAAGGTGATTATCTCTCCATGTAAGAAAGATGTATATGGAATTAGCCCTCAAAGGCTCTATTTTAATACCATTTGAAGAATGGGTACCGATATCGAACAGCAATTTTAAACTTTGTACCTCATAAACTTCGTTCCACTTTGGGTTGAGATTTTCTTTGATGACTTTGCTTTGGAAAATTTGATTACCCACACGAATGATTCCATACGGGTCAGACTTCCCTTTAACAATTCCCTTTAGGTAAGTATCTTTTCCCTCAAGATCCTGAGCTTCAATGAAGTGTATCCTTAGTACACCCTGTCAAGATGCAAGAAATAGTTATCCATCATATAGTTTTCAACAATAAAGTATCAACACAAATTCTTTCCACTGCAGGATGACTGACCATTAACTTGACTGGATCAATCCTTATCAATCTCTGGTCACAGGATTACTCTGGGTTACCTGCATAGTACCACAAGTCTACATAGTAGATTCTATTCTAAGGGCATGTATCTATGACTGGATGGTATGTTCTGCCCATTTATGACAGAACAGAAAGCAAATTCATTATTTTTGGATTATATTTCTTTAATCTTGATTTGGAGCATAGTGCATGGCATAGCAGTACTAGATTCCAAAGAGTTGTTAAAGCCAGTTTTTTTCCCCCTGGGGGAACGCATATCTCTAAACATTTGTGAATCTAAGTTTGGCCTCATTGAGGGGCAGTATTTCAGTATGATTAGGAAAATGAGAGTACCTCTAAAAAAAATTAAGAAAAAAAGCACTGGTTAAAGCTAAGCAGGTACACACTTGATCAGTCACCTGGTCTGCACTCAGCCTCAAGATTTAAGTATCTGTGAAAAACTGCCTGTTACTGTTAGTTTCTCTGGTTATCCAGAACATTCCAGAAGTAATTTTGGTCTATTTTTTCCACATATGAACTTGTGATATTGCTGCATTAGATTTTGTACTGCTTCATCATTTCAGAATTTTACCCAAAATAAGCATTAAGTTATACAAATGGAAAAACCTGAGGTATGGAAACGAAGAGTCATTAAAATACTTTTGTTCAAATATTGTCCATGACAGGGAAGGAAATTCCTAGCTTCACCTTGGAAGGCTAAACCCACCTGAAGTTACTGTCATACGCTCAGCATCCAGATTTTTAGGGTCTTCACAAATAGTGTTTATCAAACTTTCATGAATCAGAATGGTTCTGCAAAGGTTACTCAAATAATACTGAGTTCACACTGTATTCTTTTATAATTTTATGCTAAAATTCTTACCTTTGGTATGGGGAAGCGCAACTGAGCAATCTGTACCTCACTGACGAGAGGAACAGTGATCCTGTTTGGAAGCACCAGGTAATTGGATATGATGTCTGATATTATAGTGTCTGATAAACCGCTATTGGGAAGAAAATGGAGGAGAAGTTATTTTAAGACATCTTGCCTTAGTTGCACTTTTGACACACCTTCACTATTTAAACAGTTATTACATTTGCTGAAGCCACAGTTATTTATGCTTCTGTTAACATTGCAGGCTAAGGAATTTCAACTCCAGAGTGTAAATAAATTTCAGGCAAACTGCCAACACAATTTCTCTTCCAACATTTCTTCATCTTCTAATTAAAAAGTGACAACCAGATTTATAGAGCGTACAGCAAATCTACCTATATATGCAGGCTGCAGAAATATTTTTTCAGCCCCATGTTGGTGTTGGTTAAAATTCTGGGCTAGTTCCGTGGACTTCTTAAAATTCTTGGATTTTCCCTTTCATCTACATCCAATTTTGTAAGAAAGGGTATATATAGAACTGACCCAAATAGCAAGATCATATGACCTGATTGGCTGAAGTCATTTCAGTTAGGACTCCTGGCTTTTTGTTTTGTTTTAATGAAGTCTGGAGGAAATCTATCTATCTATCATCTATCTATCTATCTATCTATCTATCTATCTATCTATCTATCTCCATGTTGTGTGGTATTAGAACTCCTCCTACAAATTATCCTTTCACCCTGAACCATTTCCATAAGTGCAATTTGACAGACCAGGTGCTATTTGCTTTCAGTGTCTATGCCAGATTTTTGTCAACCCTTGACCAAGACACTCTGCATAAGACCCCATCCATCATCCCAAGACACCCTTCTAGGGGTCTACCTCCTCACAACATGAGGTACAAAGGCTCTTGTCAATGGGATCCCTGCTTTGAATTAGTTCCCGCAACAACTGCCTTGACACCAGCCCTGCTTCCTTGGGTCAGGGAGTGCTATACATTTGAATTTACTACATTTGCATTATCATCAGTCTATCCCTAGAGGTACCGTATTAACTCGAGTCTAATGCGCCATCGAATCTAATGCGCACCTCAGTTTTCAGAACCTTGAAACCAAAAAAGATGTTGCTGGCAAATGCAGATGTGCCATCAAATCTAATACGCACCTCAATTTTTGCAACCTAATTTGGCCAAAAGAGGTGAGCATTAGATTCAAGTAAATACGTACCACTTAAGAGCCTACATCCACCACTTAGAGAGCCTACAATGATGCCAAAATGGAAACACTGAAGTTTCCAGAGTTTACGACGTGGATCCCAAGCACTGTTACCTTCAATGGCCACAAGATGGAAACAGTAGCTCAGAATAAGGGGCAGGAATAAGAGGCTTTGTATAAACATTATTCATTCTTCTCTGGGTTGCCTTAATTGTTTACTATAAAATACCGTTGAATAGAAAATAAGGCCCATTACTCCAAGTTATTGTTTATACATCATATATTGATGAAACTGATGATAGCTTAAAGTAATCAACATACAAAAGTTAATTACCATATTTTTTGCTCTATAAGACTCACTTTTTCCCTCCTAAAAAGTAAGGGGAACTGTGTGTGCATCTTATGGAGTGAATGCAGGCTGCACAGCTATCCAGAAGCCAGAACAGCAAGAGGGATTGCTGCTTTCACTGTGCAGTGATCCCTCTTGCTGTTCTGGCTTCTGAGATTCAGAATATATTTTTTCTTGTTTTCCTCCTCCAAAATCTAGGTGCGTCTTGTGGTCTAGTGAGTCTTATAGAACGAAAAATATGGTACTTTGCTTTTCTAAGGGGTAAAGGTAAAGGTAAAGGGACCCCTGACCATTAGGTCCAGTCGTGACTGACTCTGGGGTTGCGGCGCTCATCTCGCTTTATTGGCCAAGGGAGCCGGCGTACAGCTTCCGGGTCATGTGGCCAGCATGACTAAGCCGCTTCTGGCGAACCAGAGCAGCACACAGAAATGCCGTTTACCTTCCTGCTGGAGTGGTACCTATTTATCTACTTGCACTTTGACGTGCTTTTGAACTGCTAGGTTGGCAGGAGCAGGAACCAAGCAACGGGAGCTCACCTCGTCGCGGGGATTCGAACCGCCGACTTCTGATTGGCAAGTCCTAGGCTCTGTGGTTTAACCCACAGCGAAACAGCACATGACATGCACCACTAAGGTGACTGAACTTGGAGCTTGTGAGCATGTGGAAGCCACACAGTAACGAACTGATCCAAGCTCAAAGAATCACAGTAATGTAGAGCTGGAAGGGACACTGAGGGTCATCTAGTCCAACCCCCTGCAATGCAGGAATCTTTTGCCCAACGTCGGGCTCGAACTCACAACCTTGAGATTAAGAGTCTCATGCTCTGAGGCTGAGTTATCCCAGGCACAGTTTGCTATGTCAGTGCAAACAACACCAGGGAGGAAGTCAAAGCAGCTTCCACAAGTACAGCAGCCTTAAGGTATCAGCACATACGTGGACATTTGTCAATCTTCTTCTGTAATAATTTTTTGAGAGGGCAGGCAGATGCTATGGGTAGTCTACATGTGACAAATAGGTACTAATGTTGTACACCACCCACTCTGATCAGGAATCAGAATTTTTCAGAACATCAGTATAAAATATTGCAGTCTACAGTACTGCGGCAGGCAGGTAGGCAAACAGTGGAAAAGAGTCAACAGTGGGAAATGGCCATGCCTTTCATCATCCAACCAGTTTATATAGCCATTTTCCAAAACTATGAAGCTTACAGAGAAGCTGAATGCCAGATAAGGGAAAGAAAAGAGAATTTGTTAGTCTCATGTGACATTATTAAATGATGGCGAGAACAGTAGATTGAGGCTTAAATTGATTGGAGGAGCATATTCTCTCTGTGAAAACAACTGATAGGTGTGCAATCCTCGTAATGTTTCATCTAGCCTTGCAGCTAGAGCTCTTCCGAACTTAGACTTTCACATTTTTACTGTGGTATCCAAGAAAACATTTGAGCCCTATTGATATCAGTACAGATCAAATGAACACCACAGTGTTTTAAATTTTATATGAGGAGGGAAGCTAGTTTGCGGCGCTGTGTTTGGAAGTTTTGCTAAAAAAACCCAATTACACCTTACTCAAAGGAACAGAAGTAGAATGCAGACATACTACCTTAACACTTGGATTCACTGAAATCATACAAAGTCATTAGCTTATTTGTATCTTCTCTCTCTGCTAGGAAGTTACACAATATTTAATGCTTTGAGCCAACTGTCAATTTAAAAACATTTTAAAAGGCTTTTAACAAGTCAGCCAGCACTTTCGTTTTGAAAATGTAAAAAAGAAATGAAGAAAATCTTTAAATACAATTTGGGGGGGGGGGGAACGGGGACAGAAGCCTTCCTGCTGGGAATAATTGATACAGATATATCTAAAGATGATAAAAAATTATTTTTGTATGCCATGGCGGCAGCTAGAACCTTGATCGCAAAAAACTGGGGGGAAAGAGACAATTCCAACCAAAAAAGAGTGGCAAGACAAACTATTTAGTTATGCTGAATTAGCAAGGAAGACAGATGCGATCAGGGGCCACAGCAAGCAAAAATTTCAAAAAGATTGGGAAAAATACAATGAATATTTGAAAAAGCAATGCCCACATATTACTGCTTGGACTTGTTTTAATTAACTTCTGCAAACTGATACATGATTAGAAAAAAGAGAATTAAAGAGAATTACAAAGAGAGATCATAAGTAGACAAACGGAAACAGATTACTAAGGTTGATATCAGACCCGCATAGAAGACGAATGAAGTCAACGAAGAAAATGGATATGAAATTTGGTTACATATATCATTTTTGAGATATGGGTTTATTTTAATCATTATTTTCTTTTTCTTCTCTTTTTCTTTTTTGTAAATTTTTTTTGTTTTGTGTGTTAACATCTTTATATTATATTTTTTTTCACTTTTTGATGTTTAATTGTTATATGTTTGTATGTCAAGTTTATCTGTCAGAATGCAAATTAAAAAATTGAATTTAAAAAATTGTAAAAAAGAAAGCAAAAAAAGATTTTCACAGAGGACAATTACGCTGGATTTGTGGGTGTTCAAGGTAGCTAATCACTTCCTAAAAATGAGTTGATATGAACAATCCCAGTGTGACTGTGAAATAAAGATATCCAGGGGTCGGAGGGATGGAATCAATATCCAACCAGCGAGTGGGCAGGCTCCCACAAAAGCCAGCTGTGCTTTAGTGCAGGGGTAGGCAACCTAAGGCCCCGGGGCCAGATGCGGCCCAATCGCCTTCTCAATCTGGCCCACGGACGGTCCGGGAATCGGCACGTTTTTACATGAGTAGCATGTGTCCTTTCATTTAAAATGCATCTCTGGGTTATTTGTGGGGCCTGCCTGGTGTTTTTACATGAGCAGAATGTGTGCTTTTATTTAAAACGCATCTCTGGGTTATTTGTGGGGCACAGGAATTCATTCATTCCCACCCCCAATATAGTCCGGCCCACCACATGGTCTGAGGGACGGTGGGCCACAGCTGAAAAAGGTTGCTGACCCCTGCTTTAGTGCGAGGATCTGCTGACTCAAGAGCACCATACTGCCACAACACAGTGAGTAATTACGCGAGCACCTCTGCAGGTGCTAGCAGATGCTTAGTGCAGCACAGCAGGACAAACTGGGGCACCAACATGCCCAACCAGTGGAAATGGCCACATGACTGCAAGTTATAATTAGAGTCTGTGATAAACTTTTGCCATATGTTTTATTTAGGAAACCTACATTTTGCAACCCCACCCAATTAATTTCGTCAAGAGGCAAGAAAAAAAAAGCAAAAAAAGCTGGCATTCTCTCTCTCTCTCTCTCTCTCTCTCAAAAGTACTGTAATAAAGCAGCATTAAGAATTTCTTACTGCATTTGGAGACAGCAATAAGAAACAAAGATACTCAGTTATGCCTGAAAGTTTTAAAGAGAGATTCACAAGAAGCTTGTCCCAAATGGAGAGCTCAAGAAAGAGAGAGAAATTAATCAACAGTAAGCATAGGATTTCATTAAGTACTGGGTGGAGCTTTACAAGTTAGCCTCAAATATGCACCACCTCAAGTCTGGGACTTCTCTTGACTGCAACAAAAGTAGACTGACTGCATTCTTTCCTTTGAATGGGCAAGCCAAATATAGCTAGAATGCTAGCAGTTTTTTTCCTGCATAGAAACACCTTGTTTTCTTCCAGATGTTATACTGCTGCAAATTACAAACGATGCTATTCACCAGAAAACTCACAGCAAAGCAAAGTTAACCTTTGCCACCTATAATTTTGCAACTCTTCTGGCTGGTTTTGGAAGTCAAAACAAACTGTACAAGATGCAGTTCGCAGCTTGCAAAACAGCTAGCTTGGGTCTTTAGGAGCATTTCCAACTCCCCATATGTACTTTCCTTACCCATGTCTGCAAGCCTTTTTGTGCGTTCCATTTGCAAATTCTTATCAACTACTGCTGTTTGTCTTTAAAAAATCATAAAAAAACCTACATGCATGCACACTGAAAAAGCTAAAAGCCAGAACATTTGTCAATTCCTCTAAAGTTTTCAAGAGATCACTGAGGGCTATGGTTAAGGACTGCCCAATCCCAATGTTTAGATGTAGTATGTTTATCAACTCAATCACATTGACAGTTTCCCAAAAAGTATAGCAGATGGAACACAAACACTTATTTCTTTAGAATTATCTTGTGTAATTATGCACAAACGCACACTAAAACACTTATTAAAAAAAAAATAGTTTCACATTCAATTTTTGGCTTACTTTAGTCCTGGAATATCCAGAAGATTGGTCAGTCCTGTCCAGTTAATTTCCAAAAGCTGAAGACAGGAAAAAAACAACAATTTAAAATGTTGCCCAGCACTTAAGAAACAGAACAAAGGGTCATACATTCTGATAGCCGTAAGGATAATAGAATCACGGAATTGTAGAGTTGGACAGGAACACGAAGGTCCTGAAATATTTTTCCCCCAAAGTGCGGCTTGAACCCACAACTCTGCGATTAAGAGTTTCATGCTCTATTGACTGAGCTATCCCAGAAGCTAGATGGCAGGAAGCAATCAGTTTAACACTAACACACATGCAAATTTCAGCCAAAATATGAAATTAAGGAAAGCATTTGTTTTAGCCCCTTTATGAGTACTGTCCAACATCAGGAAGGATACAATACAAACTATTTATACCTACAGATTAAGAACATCAGGATGACCCTCAGAATAGTTACTTGCATAAAACATGCTAGGCTGCTATTTTAAAAAGAAATTTACTGTGGAAATCATTACCATTAGAAATCAAACAGGCCGACTCTTAAAAGTGAAGTGTGTTAAGGAACGTAGCTTAACGGCTACAAAAACAGTTGCTAAATTTATTGCAAGATTACGTAACATTGCACATTAAGAAATAATGCACATTAGTAACATAATGTCGGCTCTAGTTTTCTCTCATTATAAAAGAGGGTATCTTATACTGTAACTGTGGCATGTTTGCAACCCTCCCTAGCCATTGGCTGCACTACTATGATATCACAGAACAGACTAAAAGTCATGAGGAAAACAGTCAACTCAACAAAGAGCCAAGCTTTTCACACATACACACACCCCACACCTAAGCCTTCTTGGAGAACTTCTAAAATCATTCTTTTAATTGCCGTATTTTCCCATCTAAAAGACGCCCCCATGTATAAGACGCCCCCTATTTTTGCGGCAACAACCAATCGCCAGTCCACCCTTGGCACTATGCGTGTATAAGACGCCTCCTAATTTTTGACATTATTTTTTAGGGGGAAAACCTAGTCTTATACAGTGGTACCTCGCAAGATGAATGCCTCGCAAGACAAAAAACTCGCTAGACGAAAGGGTTTTTTGTTTTTTGAGCTGCTTCGCAAGACGATTTTCCCTATGGGCTTGCTTCGCAAGATGGAAACGTCTTGCAAGTTTGTTTCCTTTTTCTTAACACTGTTAATACAGTTGCGACTTGACTTCGAGGAGCAACTCATAGAATGCGGTGTGGTAGCCTTTTTTGAGGTTTTTAAAGACTTTGGTGATTTTTGAAGCTTTTCCAAAACTTTCCCGACACCGTGCTTCGCAAGACGAAAAAAATCGCAAGGCGACAAAACTCGTGGAACGAATTAATTTCGTCTTGCGAGGCACCACTGTACAGGGGGAAATATGGTATTGATTATACAGAACAATTTATCAGAGCAAGCCTAGAACTTTGGCACACCTATGAGAGCCCCCTGCCAACGAACCTCCTTGCAGGCAAGGTTGGCTCCACCATTCGAAAGTGTGAGGTGGCTGCCTCAGGTAGCAGATGCTGGAGCAGGCAATGGCAGCCCCCACATCCCAGCCATTTCAGTATTCCTGAGCCGGTGCCCTGGCAATGCCAATGTGTTGGCATGCTGCTGGCCTGGCCTGGTTGTTCTCCCAGCAAGTCACAGACAGCACTGTTTACAAAGGCTCCTGACTGTCTGAGCAAGTGGAGAAGCCGCCAGTCCGGGCCACAACACTTCAGCAAGCATACTGCTGCACAAGCACTGCGCTGCTCCTGCAAAGATGCTGGAAGTGCTGCTGCAGCATTGCAGCTGTTGTTGGAGCAGGCAGCAAGCGAGGTGTTAGAATACAGAGGTGTGTTCCACAAGGGGAAATGTGCCAACCTTGTAGCTGCCAAACTTTTCTTCCTTTCGGCTGCCCGCCTGCCCACCCCACCCCATCTGCCCTGAGCAGCATGGTTTGGGATTTGACAGTCCTTCAGCCATAGATTCCCATTCCTCCACCCCCATGTTTGCACTTTTAAATCGTGACTGGGAATAATTGCTCAATTCTGCTTCTCTTTTTTGTGGTTTAGTCTCCCCCCGCCCTTGGCTCCACATCTAATAAAATTCCTTGTTACTAGCTCACTGCGAAAGATCACATAGTACTGCCAAAGGACTGCTAGCGAAACGTGGCACTAGGATGCCTCAAACTTGCCAAGTGTACCAGTCTGCATTAAACTTTAAACACAGTTGTGGAGATGGTAGGGAGTTTACTTAGAAATCACTTATCTTTGTAAAGGTACCCCTGCCCGTACGGGCCAGTCTTGCCAGACTCTAGGGTTGTGCGCTCATCTCACTCTATAGGCCGGGAGCCAGCGCTGTCCGCAGACACTTCCGGGTCACGTGGCCAGCGTGACAAGCTGCATCTGGCGAGCCAGCGCAGCACACGGAACGCCGTTTACCTTCCCGCTGGTAAGCGGTCCCTATTTATCTACTTGCACCCGAAGGTGCTTTCGAACTGCTAGGTTGGCAGGCGCTGGGACCGAACGACGGGAGCGCACCCCGCCGCGGGGATTCGAACCGCCGACCTTTCGATCGGCAAGTCCTAGGCGCTGAGGCTTTAACCCACAGCGCCACCCGTGTCCCTACTTATCTTTGTGCCTTTGTTTTAATCTCCCACTATAGAATTGCATCACTCTTCCACAAGGCTGTCAGTTTTGTTTGTTTTTTGCTAAATGACAATACTCTCTTGCTACAAAGCACCTCTGGCATATGTATAATAATAACAATAACAATATCATTATTTATTTTCCACCCATCTGGCTGGGTTTCCCCAGCCACTCTGGGAGGCTTCCAACAAAAGATTAGAAATACATTAAAACATCAGTAATTAAAAACTTGCCTAAACAGGGCTGCCTTCAGACACATGCCTACACACGTGTGTGTGTGTGTGTGTGTGCGCGTGCGCGCGCGCATACACACATATACATATACATGCACATATATATACACACACACACACACATTTAGTATATTGAAACTTCCACGATAGATGAATCTAGTAGAAACAGGAGGTCTCGAAGACCCACAGACCAAGAGATTAGACACAGAAGTTTCAAAAAAAGTATTACTTTCAAGTTCTTGGGGGTTTTTTAAGTGTATTTGTGTTATCTGTTTTAAAAATGTGTTATATGGTCCCAAGAATGAAGGTAAATGATGCAGCAACTTTGTTGAAGCCAAGCAAGTCTGTGTCAATGCCTTGATGAGAGGCCACCTGGGAGCCCTATGGATGCTGCCTTGAGTCTCACAAAAGAATTGCAGCATTCAAATGTAATATGCATCAAGCTCTGGTACTGAAGAGACTCCTTGCTGTTCCACTGGTTTTTGTTCAGAAGCACTGCACAGCAGACCGTGGCCTCTTTAATATTTTACACAGGATGCACACAGACATTTTAACAGATTTCTCAAATTTAATATACCCAGGCTTGGGAACAGCTAAAATACAGGGGGCATAATCAATAAGAGACACCCAAGTGTTCTAGATTAGATTAATATTGCTTCAAGAGGAAAAACAAAGGTCTACTCCTATAAAAAAAAAAAAATCTACTCAGGTCAAAATGTCCGAAGCTTCAAAGATAAAGCTACCTGACAGAAAAGAGCATTGCTTTTTTTTCCCCTCTGAAAAAAATAAATAAATAAAGACTCATAGGGCAGAAGAACCAGTTCAGTGACCCTTTAAAATAATCTTCAAGCAGGTATTTGCAAGAACAAGGCAGAGTTACTGTGCCCCTGTTGATTAGTATGTGTAACATTTTTTTAATTTTTTTGTGGGGGGGGAGGGAGGGATTGAGAGAAGCAGTGAGGTGAGGGGAGACCATCATGGAATACTTTTTGGGAAGAAAATGTTGCATATGGTGTAACAGGGCTTATACTCTCGAAATATACACCCTGAAGGCTATCTGCATAGCAAATTCAATGCCACCACCAACACCCCAATATATGGTTTTGAAGTGGCGGGCAAAACATACAGATGTTTCCAACTCTTCCTAAGTGTTTCAAGGTTTCTCTTTTCATATACAGGAATGGTGCTTTTAGCCATCACTAGGGCACAGGAAAGCTTTTATCCTTGCCAGGTTATGCAAGATTTTCCAAGCGTGTGCAGCTTCTTATGACAATGGTGTCTCTCTCTCTCTCTTACATACACACGCCTGCCCATATACAGAAAGATGTAAAGGGATTTAGTATAGCCTTTACTTTGCCTTTCTAGTTTTCTATGCAGAGATTATATTTTTGAAGTAGGAGCACTCAGGTCCCTCCCCCCTGTGCAGGCTTAAGACGTTTTCACTTTGAATAAAGGGCTGACATTTTCAGCTACACTCATTCCTATTCACCTCAAACACTAATAAAATACAGTAAGCCCTCAACTTCTGTGAACTGCCCTGAGATCTTATGATGAAGGGAGGTATATAAATCTAATAAAAGTAAAAATAATAAAAACTTAGGTGCATTTAACTTGAACGTATTCAGCTGTACGGGTTTGGCAAAAAAGGGGGTGGCAGAAAGGAGCTGTGCACCTGGGGAAACGACATCAGCAATCTCATTCACCATTAAACCCAATGTGCATTGGCTATATGCGACTTTGGCTTTAGGTGCGACCTGTAGGACGTAACCCTTGCATAAGTTGCAGGCTTACTGTATGAAAAAGAAGGTGGGAAAGTGTGGGGCCCAGTCTGCCTCACAACAGTAGCACAAACACTCCAGCAGACAGCAAGCCAAGCCCATTCAACCACTCAAACCAGCCTCTGACAAGAAAGAGGAGAATTTGAAGTTTGCAGAAAGCAGGCTCTATTTACTAATATGGACACAGGCTTTCTATTTTCTCCTTAAGCTGCCACAGGACTTTCCCTTTCAAACCATCAATCATAGGGGGGGGGGAGAGCTATCAGAGGAAATTTCCAAATTCTTCTCATGCTTGTTCTGTCATTTAAAAGTCTTCACAATTAGCTGAACATATATCCTCTCGATAAACATGTAACGGTTACGTATGCCATCTTCTCTTACTCAAAGAAG